AAATTCCATAGTGAAAAATTGATTTTAATTTATACAACTTTTTTTTTATGGGGGAGAGCGCAGTGCAGCCATCTGTGGTTCTTGGTTGGAGCCTCATCTTTGTAAAATCATAGCCGAAATCAATACTGCATGCGCTCACTCTCTCTCTCTCTCTCTCTAACCGGATTCAAAGCACAAAGCAAACAGAATAGAATAGAGGCCGACCAAACCTAATTGTCACAACTTCACTCGAGAATATGGAAGTCGCTAAAACTTGTTCATGTATTAATGTACACATATATATATATATATTATACGAGATTCACGCTCAATGGGCAGACTCCGTCGCAAGGTTCGCGCGCGAAAACTTTCTTATAATCGCGTGAGTGTGTATATTATCAGGGCAAAATCTCCCCATAATCTCTATATATGGGCAAATCCACAGAACCGGCCGATTTCATGTTACTCATATATTTTTCTATTTTAGAAGTATTATATTAATTATTTTCATACTTCAACCATTTTGTAATATCTCTGAGAACCTATTGAAATAAGAAAATTGAATAAATGTGAACCTTCTAGTCTTTTATAAAAAATAAAATCGAATTAAGTAACTTAAAAAATGAAATTTACGGTGTTACTCCAGGTATAAATTTTAATTCTTATAGGTATAACTTGTTCGGCATAGATCCGAACAATTCCAAACTGTGGTGAATTATAGTTTACTTATTGAATTATGTTTTGAAAGTAATAAAAAATATGTGCTCTTAAATAAAAAGAAATGATAGTCGTTGAAAGTAGCGTTACTCATTATTTTATAATAATGAAATGTCTATACATTTTTGTAAATATCTTTTGCGGCGATTATTCTATTTGAATTTTTCAAATTGGAGCTTATTGCTTGTGAACAGACGAACAAATGTATGTATCATAGAATAGAGTGCAATCAGAATTAAAGAAAATATTCCAATAATTATCACTCTATGTTTAAGCGTGAACCATTTTCAACTTAGCCTTTTTTCAGTAGCACAACTACAGGATAAAATATGATGAGTTGAAAACATGTGTGATTATATAAAGACATTATTATAATTCTTGTATGCAAACGCCAAATTATATTTTCAATTTATAACGTCTAAAAATTAAAAATAAAAAAAAATTTATCGAAATTTAACTAGTTAATCGTGAAAAATGAATTATCCTTTCATTTGTTTTATTTTCAAAGTTATATCAAAATCGATGTCAATAATGTCAGTTTGTTGGTTAAAATAGTTAATATCAAAATTAGTAAGTAAACAATTTAATTTACAGAAATAAAAAATTAAATGCTAATAAATAAAATATATAATAAAATATGATAAAATATAAATAATTTATTTTTGATAATTAAAAAATTAATTATTTGTATTTTATCATATTTTATTATTCAAAATGTTTTGCAGATATTTCAAATAATATATAAAAAAAAACAAAGAAATGCCATTTATAATTATAATTTCCAGAAGAAAAATAATATTTTCGTTTTTGGCTTTTAACTCAAACGGCATTAAAATAAAATGAATCACGCAAGAAGATAATTGTTCTTGAATATATTTTAAAGAAAGTAAACCATAAATAAAAGGTGTGCTTGCTATTTGGAAAATTTTCATCTTGATAAGTAAAAATCGGCCGGTTCTGTGGATTTGCCCATATACTCAACCGTCATTTTCCTTTTTTATTACTTTTCCCATATAAATTGCAGTAAACCAAAGAACAATGGAATAAACCGTCAAAAACAAAAAAGAAAAGAAAAAAACGTTTTTAGTGCGAAAATAAATTTTATTTTAATATCGCAAACATTAGCTCAAGGATAAAATATTTTTTAAACCGCAGAGATAAAAAATTTTTCTAATTCGAAGATTTAACGAAAAAAAAAATTCTAAAATATAAAGAATATTATTGTGGTAATCGAAAATAATAATAATAATAATAATAATAATAATAAATAACAAAAATAAACAATTCATGTATATATGTATTAATTTATAATAATTATTATTGTTATTATTTTTTATTATTATTCATTCATTATTAAATTATTAATTATTCATTCAATTTTATAGTATTTTTATAAATATTTTTAAATTCATAAAAATTTTTCTCCTAGAAAAAATCTAATCACTATACTGGGATTCGAACCCTAAATCTTCTTAACACAAGTCGAAAAGGCTAACCACTAGGCTACTACACAAAACATTGTAATATGTATAGTTTAATAATAGATATTATTTTTTAGATTTTATAACATAAAATTCATATCTCCACGAGTAAATATTCAATTTTCACTAAAAAAAAAAAAGTATTCTTAATTCAATAAAACGCATGTACTTGTACATATTTAATTTAATATTTTCTTGAAATCCAAAATTTTACTAAATTCAAGTAAATTTTCTTGAATTTAAAAAAAATTAGAAGATAAAATAAGGACGAGTACATTCAGAAAAATGTTTCTTAGAATCAAAGAAGTATTTTATTGATTCAAAAAAAACACTTCTTTTATTCAAAGAAACATTTTTTTGGTTGTAAATAGTTTTCTTGAGTCAATGCTACTTTTTCCACACTACACTGAAAAAAAAATTTATTTGATTCAAATACCGGTGTATTTAATTATTATCAAATAAATATTTACTTGAATCAAATATTTCTTATTTCAATCAAATATATAATATTTTGAATCAAATATTTCAGTATTTGAAGCAAATACCATTTATTTGATTCAAATAAGATATATTTGATTCAAGTAAATATTTATTTGATAATAATCACTGTAAAAAGAAGGTACTAAAACAGTACCGATTTTAGGTATCAAAATAGAACCAAATAACAATTTAGTACCTAAAGTTGGTATTAAATTAATACCTTTCGTTTTACAGTGAACCAAATACACCGATATTTGAATCAAATAAATTTTTTTTCAGCGTACTGTGTTGATTATTTAAATTAAAAAAAGTAAGATTAAATAAAAATTTGTTCTAAATTACAAAAATAATTTCGTCTAAAGCAGATGTAACAATTTAACTTACAAATATTGCGAGACAGATAGGGGATGGGGGGGGGGGGGAAGAAGCCCTATAGAAAAATGACAAGAAGACCCTCGTTTTCGGGTTACACCAGTCTTAGCTTCTAAAAGATCTCGTGAGGTTTCCCGTATATCTTTCTCAAGGCTTCTAATTTTTTAATTCTATTATGTTCTCGACGAACACGTCGTCTTTATATACATATATATTTGTATATAGAGAGAAATAAAATAGAACGTATTACTTTTCTTTTCTTTCACCGTTTTTTATATATCTACCCTAGATCACACAATTTTCAGTCCCTTTATTTTATAACGTTTTTTTAAAAAAAAAATAATATCTATTTTATCATTATTTTACATAGACGATAAAGTAATACATAAAAAAGTAAATTTAATGAAAACACATTTATCCCCATCACACACTTATATATAAATAAAAAAAATATATACGTAAAGTTTTGATAAATTTGATAAATATAAGAAAAATGTTGACAATTTCGTTTTACTTTCAAAAGGGCTAGAATTTTGTTTTTGTAACATTTAAAAAAATATATATAAAAAATTTTAAAATTGGAATATTCCCAAAATGTTTTAGTAAAACTATTTATTTTATTTAAAGTATAATAATAATATTATTATTATTATTATTATTATTATTATTTAATGTATCAATGTATTAAAAAAAGAAATTTTTTTATCGATGTAACTTATATATATATAACTAAAAAAAAAATGATGAATAAAATATAAGTGTGTAAAAAAGGTTGTTTCGCGTAAAGTGCGAGATAAAAACATTTACCTTAACTTTTAGAATAAGGCCACAATTTTCCCTGCAATATCGTTTTCTTCAGATATTAAATATTTCTCTAGAGGGCGAGGAGACTGTCACTATATGTGTATACATATAAACAGACACTTGCTTTGGGCTTGGATTTCGTTTTTATCTTCATGTAAATGATTTTATCTGACACCGCGCTATTTTTTTTTCTCTCTCAAAAGAAATATACTCGGCAGAAAATATTTTTCTTATATAATTATAAAAATATAACTTTATCAATTTTTTTTTTCATTTCTTTCAATTGCTAAAAAATTAATTTACAATTGTAAGAATAAATTTTCACACTCATGGAACAATTTCTAGAATTTTTTTTTTTCAGAAAATATTTTCTAAATTATGTTCAATTTTAAGTGATTTTTTTTTTAAATTCAATATTTTTGAATTATTATAACAAAAGAAATTTTCCAATGTAACTATAAATAAAATTTTTTTTTTTTTCGCGTGAAATTTTTATAGTCGAGTCAAAAACTCGTTTCTTAAAGTTTATAAAAGCATAAAATATGAAGGAAATATTGTTGAAAAGCTTTGCTGCAATTTTCGTTTAATGTAACACGAGTTCAATATATGCAAAAAAAAAAAGAGGTGTATGTATGTGTGTGTGTGTCAGAGTTTCTCTAAAGATTCTCTTCAACGAAGAAGGTAGTACCTAAGCAGCTTATGTCATAAGAAGGCACATAGAGCCCCCTCGTTGCTCGTGCATTGTCGATGACAAGTTGAATGGCACACACCGCAACATCATCGATTTGTCTCTAATTCATGATGTGCAAATTTTCACACAACAAAAATTTCCCACAAAAAAATATTTTGGAAAAAATTCTTTTTAAATTTATTTTTTTTTTTAAACAAAAGAAATTCTCCTTTTTTTACTTGCAATTATTTGTGAAAAAAAAGTATTCATAAAAAAATTATTTTCGAAAGAAAGAGTTCTCTATTTTCTCAAAAAAAATTATTTAAAAAAAATTCTCTTTAAAGATTTGTAAATATATATAGAAAGAAAAACTGAAAATTGATCATCAATGTAAATTTTATAAAAATTCTAAGGGAGATAAAACATCGAAAAACGTATTCATTCAACTGAAAATAGAATTTAGAATGAAATTTTTTTTCTTATTTCTTTTTTTTCAGTTGATAAAAACGCACGACTGGAAACCGGCAATTCATTTGGACAATCGATATCGTCTCATGCGAGGTGAACAGATGTTGGATGCACTTGGCAATCCAACTGATGAAATCGGAGAGGATGAAACTCGTGGCGAACCATTCATATTAGAACCAGAGGATGATTAAATTTTTGTCCAAAAAATTATTATAATTTTTCAAAATAAAAAGAATGTAAGAAAAATTTTTCAAAAAATTACAAAAATTATATCAATTATAAAGAATTTAAATATAATTGAATATAATTGAATGACTTGCAAACTTTCAAGATTAATTCTTATAAAATTGTGTAATAGTAAAAAATACTTAATAAAATATTTGAAAGAAATGAAATGGGATAATAATTTTTTGTTTTGTACAACTTTATAGGTGAACGATCGAGCTATTTCAGGAAACTTTTATTTTCAGTTGCTTGCCTTCTGTGAAGGTGATCGGAGCTGAAAATTGTATATATATATACGATGATAAAAACCACTCTACTTATCGTTTTCTTTTTTCAATGAGAAGGGTCAAGCGGGTACGACTGAGTCTGGAAACGAGACGACTTCAAGGCCAACAATCCGTTTACCTCGTTTAATTTTTACTTCTCTTATTCTTTCTTTTGTTTCTTTTTTCCTTTACTAAAGAATCGCCTTTCTCTCTCTCTCTCTCTCGCTCGCTCTTTCTACTTTTCGCTTTATGGTCCATTTCTTTCATTCTTCCTCAAGATCCTCGCGCACGTATTTTCTCTTACGAATTCTCCATTATTTTAACTTTACTACCAACTCTAAAATGAAGGACTTTCAATTTTACTGTCTCTTAATTAAAACACACTATACTGGAAAAATATATAAAAAAAAAATTCCTAACATTCAGTTTTTATTCATCCGGAAAAATTTATATTTGCTTCATAATCGGTTACTTGACTGCAAATAAATAATTACTTAAACGAAATAATTTTTATTTTTTAAATTTGGACCAATAATTTCTGTATTTGAGCCAATAATATAAGAAAAATTTCTGTTTTTTGAAATAAATACAATTTAATTGACTCAAATAATAATTATTTATAAAACAACTAAATTTCTGTATTTAAAATAAATATTACGAAAAAAAATTTTCATCTGGAATAGCAATAAGTTTCACTGGAACAGCGATATGTTTCACTAAACCAGCGAAAGTTTTTGTTATTATAGAGAAACGTATCGTTGTTTCAAATAAAGTTTTTTTTTCCGTGTAAATTTCTATATTTGAAACGAATACCATTTCAATTAATTCAAATAATAATAATAATGATGATTTAAAACAAATAATATTCTGTATTTTAAACAATTAAATTTTTTTCTTTTAATTATAACAAATAAATTTTTATATTTAATACAAATAGACTGTATTACAAATTTACTGTATTTGAAACAAATACTATTTAATTGATTCAAAGAACAATTATTTAAAACAAAAAATAAATTATTTGGTTTTTTTATTATTATTTGATAATAGTAAAGTAATTATGAATAAAATAAATTTTTCTTTCAGTAATTAATAAAAGTTAAAAAATTTGTTTTATCTATATAATTAAATAATTCATAAAATTTGGATGAATTCAATGTTCTTTTTTCACCAAATATTTCTCACTCTATAGCTTACGAAATAAAAAAGTCAATTATTTTTTAAATATAAAATTTTTTATATAAAGTTTCGTTTCAGAGATTTTCCGATAAATTACGAAAAATATTTTGCGACTAGTTTTATTGATAGGCGATTATTTTGAGTTAAGAAACAAACAAACAAACAAAAAAAACACATTATTTTGTGTTTGATTACTCCATCGTTACATTAAAAAAAAAAAAAAAAAAAAAAAAAAAAAAAAAAAAAAAATAGAAGAGAAAAAAAAACGAAAATGGTAATTCCAAGTTCTCTCGTACCAGTCGGTGCTTTTTCTCATAAAAAACTGTATTACAGACCTAATAACGGTAAATTCCACAAACCGAAAACAAATACTGTCTGCATACATTGCAACAAGTCTAGCAACAACTCTTATAGAAGTCTCGTTAGTCGTTAGCTTCATAAACTCTCTTTTCTACTTTTTTTTTTTTTCCCTAAAAATTTAAATATATATATATTCAAAGGAGAGGAAACACATTTATCAATGACTTGGAAACTAATTATACTAATTAGGATTTGTGACTAATTAAGTGAAATAGTTTTTCCCATTTAATTTATACCCATTTGAAATGGATTTTTATTAAGAAAATATGGAGAGAAAAAAAAAATCTAATAAATATATCGTAGGTGCTTTGAACCCACGTATATATTTGAGTCTAGACAAGTATAACAGATTTCTACATAAAATGGACTTAGAATTTAAATTCTAATTTAAATGCGGGTCTTATACTTCTGGTTGAATCAGGGTGTGGGCGATAAGTGGGTATATCGGTCAGTGGTTACTCGACTGCATCGAGGAAAGTGTTTTTTTTTTTTTTTTTTGCAAGAAACTGGTTTTGATACTCGTCAATCTTTTTTATTTACAAATTGTAAATCTTGCTTGAAAACAGATACTTCGCTATGTGATATTTTTCATTCTAATTTCTTAATCCTGTATACAGTAATGTATAATAATTTATAATAATAATAATAATTTTTTGATGAGAAGTAAAATTCGATCAAGGTAAAAAAAAATAATTATTATAATAATAATAGAAATTTTTGCTTTAAAACAATTACTTTTTTGAAATGGAAAAGAAGTCGCGAACAACGGTATCGAGAAGTTATTGGCAAACATTGGGAGGCACGACAAACGAATATAATACTGTCAGAATGACAAAAAAAAAAAAAAAAAGAGCGAGTTGAAGTTGAAAAAAAATTCGATATAGAAAACATTTCAAATTCCATGTGAGCTATTTTCTAAATACTGACAAGAATCTCTATTATATATTTCTCTTTTCGATTCGTTTTTTTTTTTTGAAAAAGATTTTTTTCAACTAAAATTCAAAAATCAATTTTTTGTTTTTAATTTCAAAAATAAAAATTTATAATAATATTAAAATATAATTTAGAAAATAGTTTGAAATTTTCAATGAGGGATAAAATTCAAAATCGAATAAATATTATAATATTTAAAATTTTATATCAGAGAAAATAAACATGTAACGAAGTCAAAATATTCCATCTATATTTATTTTGTGTAAGGTATTAAATATTTAATATTGCTTCAACCACGATTTTGTATATTATAACTCGAAGCATATATAGAATCGCGTTTCAAATCCATTGCACAAGATAAAACCATATACCGATTTATTCGATTCAAATGGTAGCTTCTCTCTAAGATATATATGTAAATGTCAGATTTTTCAATTTTTATCTTGTGAGGTGCAAAAAAAAAATAGAAACAATCTTTTCACACACATTTTCCTATATGTATTCCGATCTATTCCTGTATTCCGAGCTGATAATAAATATCAACTTCACGATACATCTTTTAACATATATAAATACCAAACTTCCTCTCTTTCAACTCTCTAAATCTGAATCAGTAGAAATTTTACTAATTCTTTCAGTACTTTTCATTTTAACTGAAGTTTCAGTTATTTTTTTGAATTTACAATTAGTAAATATACAAGCAATAGAAAATAACTTATGTAAAACAGTAATTTGTATATAACATAACCTTTAAAATTAACTATTAAATCAGTAGATTTTGAGGCCGCCGCCATATATTTATATTACTGATTCAATCAGTAATTGATATTTTACTAACTGAATCAGTAAATTTCTACTAATTATTATCAGTTGCTCAATTCTCGCTACGTCAATTAGTAGATTTCTACTGCTAATCAGTGAAATATAACTGATTCAGATTTATAGAGAGAATGTATTTTAAAAATAAATTAATTTTACAAAATTAATTTGCTATTTTTTTTGGAGAAAATTCAATTCAATAAAAAAGAACTAATTAATTATAAATAAAAAATATAAAAAGAAAAAATTGTGATTTATTAAATGAAGTATAAAATGAATATTGTATGTAAATAATTCCACTGAGATTAAATTAATGCGACAAAGAGGAGTCATTAAAATTTCCAGTAAATTAACGAGTCTCTTTTTAGAATTTACTACCACACATATATATATATATGGAAACTGAAAAAGGGGAAAATTTTTTTTTTTTTTGGGGGGAGGGAAAAAAGAAGGAAAGAACAAACGAATTTAAGAAGCTTAGTGAAGAAACTTGTGCGTCTTGAATCTAGTTCTTGATGGTTTTGAAGTTAAGCGGCTTTTGTTGCATATCCGGTTATATGCACGTATTATAAAGTTGCCCGCCTCGAAAACGGGAGGAGAGAGAAAGAGAGAGAGAGTGCAACACATATGTTGTATGTATATTGTTTAATACCCACCCGATGTATAATAAAATTGAGTCTATGGCAATAAATGCTTTACTATTTTCTATTTAGTGAGACGCGAGGTATTATTTTGCAATAGCGCCAAAATGCATATTATTTTATTAGCAATCAATCAAGTTTATTTCTCGTCCTCGCTAAGTTTACTTCTATTTGAATATACCACCATCATTACTAAAAGACGCTTAGTAAGAAAACTATAAATCAGATGGAATTTTATTTTCAATTAGAATAAATAACCAAAAAAGTATATATATTTATTTTTTAAACTATTTTTTCATTGAAAAAAGAAAATTTGGTTTTTATTTATAATAATATATTTGAGAAAAATATTTTAAATTTGCATATTTTTGAAATGGGAATAACTAAAAGAAATTATTTACTATATAAAATATAATAAATAATACAATATATAATATATAAACTTTTAATGATCGAGAAAGTAACGTTTCATGGCGCCCACATTTTCACTATACATTGATAGATAAATTAACTATTATATACAAAGGCTTTTATGGCAAAGTGTGCATTATTACGTAACAAATGTTCACAACAGTATAACTAAACGGGGGAAAAAAATTCTTTACAAATAAAAGTGAGAATGAAAATGAAAATTCATATTGTTCAACTTGGTTTAATCTGACAATATAAGTGACTTTGTAAACAATTTTTTTTTCGTTACTTTTATAATTAAAAATAAAAAATTTTAACTTACTCAACTAATATTTAACTAAT